GTTTCTCTCTCACATCAATGTTTCCCTCTCTCTCTTTTCCTCTCCTTTACTCTCTCTCTCTAAAATAAACAGAAAATGCTCACTGGAAGCACCTACTGATAGAGTAGATAGTCCAAGTATAATTCATTCTCAGTCATTAGAGGAAGCCCATGAGATTTCAAACTGCAGCAAATTGTAAACCTAATTCATATGGCCTTTCCTCATTTATTTTAACAGTTATGACTGAATTCTTTATAAAGGCTAAGTACTGTTAACTATCCTAAGAAGGAATATCTTCTATCATATTCACAGAAGTGCTCAATTTTAACTCTGTAAATCTTAATTCAATAAACTCCTATCTAATCTTGGAGTAATTATGTCAGATTTGCATGTCTCATACTAGCCAGCACACTCTAAACATCTGCAATCTAGACCACCTCATTTGGGCATTCATGAATGACTGAAGAGGTCCAACCCTGAAAGCATTTATTAAAATCACCTCCTGAGTAAAATAGGTGAAAGTTTGGAAGCAAAAACAAGAACATACTTGCTAAGCACTTTCCATTCCACTTTATATTCAAGTAACATGCTAATTATAAAAAACTTATTATTAAAAACCAATACTGTTTAATTTGAAAGTACTGAAAATGGTTTCTTTTCATCATATCCTATAATTTCTGATGACTTAATTCACTTGGATAGAACAGTCTCTTTTATATGCTTCACAACAAGAACTCTTCATCTTTCTGGTCTCAGGACCCCTTTCCCACTCTTAAATTTTACTGAGGATCTCAAAGAGCTTGTTTCTATAGGTTACATCTATCTATATTTTCTGTATTGGAAATTTAAACTGAACTTTAAAAAATATTTATTATCTAATTAAAAAAATAAGCTCATTACATGTTAACATATATATTTTTTTAAAAACTAGGCATACCTATAGTTAAAACAAAGTTAGTGAGAAGGCAGTGTTGTTTTGTATTTTGCAAATCCATTTAACGTGTAAATTAATGGGAAATACCTAGATTCTCATACTTGCTTCTACATTCATTTGTCAGGACATGCTGCCTTGGCTGAGGGACATGAAGAAACTCCAGCCTTCCATAAATATGTAACTGGAAAAGAGAAGACTATCTGAATAAGCTCATCAGATAACTGTGGTCATTTTTCTTTACGACAACTAAACTGGACAGGTGATAGCTTCTTAAAGGCTAGCTGCAGTGCAGAATCTGAAACCTTGTCAATAAACTTACACACTCCGCTACATTAAAACCCACTGGTTTGTCTTGCACAATATCAAAAAATTGCATTAGTTAATCTGACTGTGGACCTCATCAAAAAGTCTTTTAAGGGCTAGGAAGCTGTCAAGTTCACTGAGGTAGATACAAGTTTTCCAAAATTCTTATTTTTACTTGGAAGCTCAAATTTCATCTTTTGTAGCACTTATTGTCAGCTGTTTTCCTTGACATGGCAGGCAGGCTCCCGGCATTCCTTTTCAATGTGCACTCTAGGTTCCAGATGGGTAAGCTTCATAAAGAACATTCTTGGTGTGACTGGCTTTTTTTTTTTTTTTTTAACTGTGTGTGCATACCCCCTTGCTTCCGAGCCACCAGAGTGTGCATATCATCAGAGTGCAAAAGGCAAATAATGTCTCCTGGTCATAATGAAAATAGTTTTGACCTTGTCAATCCACTACAAGAATACTGAAGAACCCCCTGTGGGGTCCCACAGGCCACTCTTAGAAAACTTCTGTGTTATCATATAAGTGACCCTCCAACCATCACTAAGTGGCAGCCACCAATTTAAAAGTGAGAAACGACCTTTTTTGTCCATGTAATCCACATATATTACCCACCCTAAGAACATTAATATCGGTAGAAGGCTATTTCTATAATTCAAATTTAATACAAAAGCATGAAAAATGAGAGCTAGTTACCATGCAAGGATAACAGAAGCTAAACAAACTAAATGTAATATGTAAACTTGTAGCACTTATTGTCAGCTGTTTTCCTTGACATGGCAGGCAGGCTCCCGGCATTCCTTTTCAATGTGCACTCTAGGTTCCAGATGGGTAAGCTTCATAAAGAACATTCTTGGTGTGACTGGCTTTTTTTTTTTTTTTTTTTAACTGTGTGTGCATACCCCCTTGCTTCCGAGCCACCAGAGTGTGCATATCATCAGAGTGCAAAAGGCAAATAATGTCTCCTGGTCATAATGAAAATAGTTTTGACCTTGTCAATCCACTACAAGAATACTGAAGAACCCTCTGTGGGGTCCTGCAGGCCACTCTTAGAAAACTTCTGTGTTATGTAAGTGACTCTCCAACCATCACTAAGTGGCAGCCACCAATTAAAAAGGAGAAACAACCTTTTTTTCCCATGTTATCCACATATATTACCTGTCCTTAGTACATTAATATCAGTAGAAGGCTATTTCTATAATTCAAATTTAATACAAAAGCATGAAAAACTGAGCTAGTTACCATGCAAGGATAACAGAAGCTAAACAAACTAAATGTAATATGTAAACTTCCCTCCAAGGAATTTAAAACATAAATTTTTCCTTAATTCATCCACTTGTCTCCCCATTTGTTGGGCTTTTTGTGTGTGTGTTGGGCACTTGTACTGGAGACATGGAGAGTCGTTCTCAGGTGGACTCCGTGGCCAGGATCCATAGGGCGTGAAGCAGTCAGGGAACAGAGCAGAGGCACTAATGTCAAACTTATCCAATTTCAAGACCAAGTCCCCACCCTGCACGTAGCCTGTCCTTCATAATCTCCGAGTCTTTGTCTTCTTTGTTGAATACAAAGCAAATTCCGCTAAACACCGTGAGGACTGGATGAGATGCATGTAGAGCATTAGCGCGGCCCCCAGCCCACAGCGGGTATTCAATAAGCGGTCGCCACTGTTGTGAATAAGGTCCCCCAGAGGCAGCCGGGGGTCCAGCGAGGAGTGGGACACACATCCACATAATTATGACACAGCATGGGAACTGATTACCCACAACATGCGGTGGGAGTAAAAGGAAAATCAATGGTCTGCCTAAGTGAGGAAGGTGCGATAGTAAACGAGCCGCCATCCCAAAGGGAAAGGGAGCTGGCCCCATGGAGGAGGAGGAGAAGGGAAATGTACAACAGATGCACACGGAGGCTGGGCACAGGACAGAGCAAGGGAAACGCTCTGGAACCAGCTCACGTAGGGCCGCTGATGCCATGCTAAGGAGCGCACACCTTTGAAGCTGTTCTCTTTTTCTCTTTCTAAAGACTGAGGACTTATAAACACTCAGCACTAGCAGGTCATCTGGTCTCCTATGCCCCCTGACCCGCAATACACACACATTATACTCATGCTGCTTTCAGGTCTCTGACCCATCAGCAGTGCCCTGGCCCCCGCTTGACGTGGAAGAGGAAGAGCAAAATGCCTCCCAGAGACTGTGGGACATCAGGGAGCCCCAGCAGCTGGTGGAATCTGCACTTAATGTTTTAAAGCACAAATGAGGCACATACTGGGCAAAACCATTTTGTATTCTCTCAGGCACTTCTAAGATCTTGAAGCCCGCCAACTGTATCTTCATCCCAGCCCCAACTATGCCCCAGGTCCTATGCGACAGTGGAATTTACAGGTTGCTTTGCTTAATGGAGAAGAAAGAGAAAGAGGGTCTAGTGGCCCATGTTTTCCATCCTGATTCCACCCATCAGGGAAGCCTCTTGTCATTGCATGAGTGAGCCCCGAAGCCCAAAGAGGCCGCCCGCCTCTTGCTGTTTGGCAGAAGCAGCAGGGCACAAGTCCAGCGTGAGGGCGGCACACAGGTGCGAGCCATGACCCACGGCAATCCTGCAGGTGCAGGTGAACATGCAGTCAGGTGCATCCATGGCCAGCTGTGCTGCTCCACACTCACATGGGACTTGACCATTCAGACAAAAGCCACTGAAATCACTGCAAGGTCTTACTCACCCAGAATTTGACGAGGAAGAAGGCATTTTGAGGGCCCTTGCCAAACAGTTCCTTTAAGCCACCTTTCTTTTCAGGAAATTTGTCATAAATCTGACGAATGTCCACTGATTCGAGCAATGGGTCACTGTAAGAATGGTTGGCATGCCCAATGTGCACGAAGAGGTGTTTGTTGTACTGCAAGAAACCAACAGAGACATTCCCATTACAAACCCTTTGAACAACCTGGGACACATGCATCGTGAACTGGATAGAGAGTAAGTGGTCTTAAAGTCCCGGAATTACGCCTTGATTAGCTGAGAGTCCATACCTTTGAAAAGATGAAGATGTTAGAAAAGTCATTATAACTTAGGGCAAAAACAATCATCTTTTTTTTTTTTTAACTAAAGTTGACATACAATAATATATTAGTTTCAGGTATACAATATAGTAAAACAGTCATTGTCTTTTATTAAGAAGGGTATGTATTTTCCCAATGCCTAAGAAAGGCTTTTTGTAGACATAGAAGTAAACAAAGCTTAAATTACCCAACTGCCAAACCAAAAAACAATTCTATTACCCAGTTTCATGAGACTCAGCTGAAACTGACAGTGACGCCTTTTGGAGCCTATTATTTATGGTGTAAGCCCAATAAAAAGTATGTGTGTAGTTACCTAACATCATCACCCAGAATGCACTTCTCACTCCAGCTCCCCTAGCAGCAGCATGGGTGCAGCCTTCTGAGCTCTGGTACCTACCTACCTCTTCCAGCAGGAATAAGAGGGCTGAGCCTCTTCTCATCAGTCCCCTTAGTAACCAATCTCAAACTTCTGCATAAGGGCCAGTCAATATGTGGCTATCAGTGCAACGTTAGGGTCAGGGGAGAGGATTCATGGCATAAGGTTAGCAAGAGGTTGGTAACAAAGGAATACCAGTCATTCATAGTCACACAAAAAAAGAAACAAAAACACCAAACACCTAAGAAGACATTTAACTTACAAAGGAAACCCTTTCTTTGCCTTGCTTTAGTATAAGATATGGAAATTGGACCACAGAGGAGAATGTCCAAACCAATGGTTCTCACCCAGGTTGCAGCAGAATTACCAAGGAGCATTTAAAAATCACCAATGCCTGGGCTCCACCCAGACTAATTTGGAATCCCTGAGAATGAGGCCAGACATCAGTGATTTTTAATGCTCGGTAGGCAAATTCCAATATGCACCTAAGTTTAAGAACCTCTGGCCTAGATGCTCTACTTCAGACCCTCCCTGCCCATCCTTCCTGCGGTATAGGCCATAAGACCCACCTAATGGGACACAAAGACATCTGGGGGTGCATGGGTTCCAGGGAGCTCAGAACTTAATAGGGTTCAAAGAGAAACCTTGTGTCTCTCTTCACCTAGCAGTCCCTACTCACTTTTTGAGTTTAAACTGGCATTTCTCCAAGTAGAGGCTTTCTGAGTACTGATCCCATAGAAGCCCCAAATAAAAGGATTGGTTAGGACAGCCTACCAAGAGTACTGCAAATCAGCTATGACACCGGGCAGTGCTTCCCCAGTGTCTAACATGGGGAGAGTGATGGCATCTACTCCATAGGGTGGCTGTAGGATTTAAATGAGACACTGCTTATACAGAGCACACTAGAACTCCTAGATCCAACAAAGAGTAGACATTCAAGAATGCTGGCTATTACGATTTTTTAATAGAATCTCCTTCTTTGAGATTCACAGCGAATATTAGCATATTAAAAGCACCGCAGTAAAGAGACATTTTTTTAACTTTGTATAACCCAAAGTTTCCCAAACTCATTTGATCACAACCCTGTAAAAATATCCTGTGGAAGTGCTGGTTCAAATCTGTGACCTGCTGCCCACGTCGTGGATCTCTGGCCACAAAGCCAAAGGGTGAGAGGCCCAACCCCCCACAGTGGTCTACAGTGTTGCACATATGGGGAGTGTGGCTAGGGCCGGGCATCTTCTGGGAGAAGGCTAAACACCCCTCACAATCAACATCAGAGAGCTATCTTAACCAAGGCTTCAACATCCCTCAAAGGCATCCGCTAAAATGAAAAACCAAGAGGCACCTATCAAGCTCTGACGTGGTCCCCGCCTCTGCTCCTTCCAGTTACCTGGAGACTCTCTAGTGGGACTGAGACCTGGAAGCTACTGGGAAAGAACAGAGTGTGCCTGTGCGGGAAGAGAAAGGAAAAAATGTTTACATAAAGTCAAAGCCGTGGCTGTGTTAGGGAGGTGAGGCATGCGGTGGGGCCGAGTGCCTCGGATCTTTCTGTAGGTTTTCTCTAATGCTCTTGGTCACATCATCTTTTCAGTTACAAGCAAATACTAGTAAAAGCCCACAGAAATGTATAAAGCACAACTGCTAAGGAGCTTCCAGTCTCATCAGTGGGTAAAAGGAGATGTGCAATGTGGTCTCAGGTACTCCTTGCCTCACAATGACATTGTTAGATGGATTTTATTAAGGTCACTTTACAGATAAGGAAATAGAAGCTTAGAGATGAACGGACCTGTCTGAGGTCACACATCCGGGATTAGTCCTGGAGTTAAGAATAAAACTTGGATCTGTCAACGCATGCATCTTGGTGCGAATACCAATCACGCGGTCTCCCAGAAGAAAATGCCCAGACCCTTCTAATGCAGATCTACTTTTGGTTTGAAAGTTGATTTGAGAAAAAAAATGAAAGAAGCTAAATAGTGTTTTCAAAATTCTAAGATGTTAAATTAGAATTCGGGAGAAATGTAATGATTCACAGATGCATCAGATAGAGTCTTGAAAGGTTTCTATTTTGAGGAAATTACCTTTGTGCCCAAGTGGCTGAAAGGAACTGAGAAGGGGCAGGCTGTCTTTGCCAAAGGAAATCGGGCACTGACTCTCCAAGGCTGGTGACTTGAAACCAAACCCTGACTGTTGGCATCTGAGTGGCTTTGTTCCTGCCAAGAGGTGACTTTGTTGCTAAGAATACCAAGGACTAAAGAAGGTGTCCTGGAGACCACAGCAGTGAGACAAACAGACCTCACTCTCTCCCTAACTCAACCTGGGCAGGTCAGGAGTCCCTGTGCCCCCAAATCCAGAGGCTGAAAAGAAAAAAAAATCTATCTGATAGGTGTGGGTTCAAGTTTTAATGAAATAAGAACTCTACAAACCATTTGATGAGGCTCTACCTACTACTTCCCATCCTGCCAGTTCTCCTTAGAAGGGAAGAAGGCCAGGGTAGACACATCCTTCCCTCTCTCTCCCCCGCCCTCCCAAATAAATCCCATTTTCTTTCTAGTAGGGCTGGTTACCCAAAACTAAAGGTGGGACAAAACCAAAAAAAGAGTAATTCTATTCTGTAAGGCAAAAAACAAATATCTGAAAACAACAACAAACCAAAGCCCCAAGTATTGGGGGTAATATATACGCTAAGCACTGTGCTAGGCACAGGGAATCCGTGAGCCAATACTTCAAAGTCCCTCTCTTCACAGACCCTACAGAGTGACTAGACCAGGGGTGGGCAAACTTTTTGACTCGAGGGCCACAATGGGTTCTTAAACTGGACCGGAGGGCCGGAACAAAAGCATGGATGGAGTGTTTGTGTGAACTAATATAAATTCAAAGTAAACATCATTACATAAAAGGGTACGGTCTTTTTTTTTTTTTAGTTTTATTCATTTCAAACGGGCCGGATCCGGCCCGCGGGCCATAGTTTGCCCACGGCTGGACTAGACAGAGCTAGCTTACTGCCTCTATAGTCAATCATGTGTTGCCCATGTAAACAGGAGTTCTCAAAGATTCCTAGAGAAAAGGCTGAGGTTAAAGACAGTCAACATCTCTTGCACGTCACATGACCTAAGTCAGCATTTACCTGCTTTTTAAAAATATGGATGACTTTATTCTCATTAGCAAAGAGAACCTGTGTGGAATTCTCCTTGGAAATATGAGTTAAGTTTCACATCTCTAAGGCAAAAGCCTGATGAAAACCAAGTCATCCATCACCTGTGAGAGTATAACACACTCTCAGATCTGTAAGGTTTCAGGAAATTAATCTTTGTAACCATTCTCAGTTAGCTGTAGGAGGATACGTTCCTATGAAATGGAGTAAATCAAAATAGAGGGAGATGGGGCCCTGACCCAGGAGAGAGGAAGAGGAACTCGCTGGCCAACAGCTGGGCCGCTGACCTGGACAGAGACCGGTCCAGTGGATGAGGAGCTGGAGGGGCCCTGGAGGGATGTCACCAAGGGGATGCGGACCTGAGAGATTCCCTGACTTATGTGACCACCTGGAGAAGAGTTTGAGAATTCTGTTAGAAATTGTGAGGATGAATTCATATAATGTAAAAACTGAACAAATAAAAAGAAGAAATGACAAACCCTAAAATAACAAGCTTTACAATCAAGAAATGGTTCTAACACATCACACATTAACCACGCCGTGCACAAAACTGACACAGCTTTGTAATATAAGCACTGAACATTAAACCAAAACTTGTGATATAATCGCATTGGGAGGGATAGAAGGGGGGGGCGGGGGTGTCATATGCTAAATTTAGAGAGCTAAGTCCTGATCTTCCACAGTAAAAAGTCAACAGAAAATGTCTAAAATTGATGGGCTGAGATATATAGGATAAGCGTGTTATTTAGAAATATGGAGATGATATCTGAAGAACTGGCCAAAAGGCTGTAAGCAGCTGTCCCTGAGGAGTAGGGCTGTGAGGTGGGAAGACCTGGGGCAGGGGGCTGCTGCTTTTCCTCAGGCCACGAGTGAGGCTCCATTTGGCTTATATATAAAGCATATGTACTATATTAAATTAAATAAAAACTACCTTGAAACAACCTAGACTTTTTTGAGGAAGGGAAAGGACTATAAAGGGAAACAAAAACATTAAGAGTCGTGCTTCAGGTTGTTTATTCTAGCTGACCACAAATTCCCTGGACCCGAAAGGAACTTAGTCAGATCACAGAGCCTTCCTGAGGCTCAACCTCTCAGGACGACTGGCCAGAAGATGGGACCCCTGTCTGCCTGCAAGGTTCCCCCAAAAGAACGATGTTGCACCAGCAAAATCCTACCTGGATCAACCGGACAGGTGCTTAGCAGCACCTGACACAACCTTCACACACGGATTTCTCTTTCAACTTGGGGAAATGCTCATTTCCTCTCTTTACTGCTGTAATCCCTCCAGTTCTTTTTCACAGCAGTTTTAT